AGTGTGTCCTATCAAATTCCAACAAACTAGTAAGCTAATGCATATTTTGTTACAAACTTCAAGATAAAATATCATGTTTAAGAGAAAATCGAAGTAAAAGTCGTATGCAAATCAGGAAAAATCTCTTGCTCATATGAAGATGCGGTCACGGCAATGATTTTAGTAAGTAATGGCCCGAGTAAGAACTAGGCAAGCAAACGGCAAAGGAATGCAAGAAGGTGCTAATTGTGTATTGTATAATCCATCCATCCCATTGGTTGAAACATGAAAATCTGCTATAATTTCACAAGTTAGCGAATTTTCTAATATTTTATTTAATGTCTGTTTTCACTTTCATGAAAGCTTTCTTTAGCTTCAATATAAGGCAATTCTATGTGGGGAATATTGCAAATTAGAAGCATCTTTTGGCTATTGTTTTGAGTGCTTATGATTGGATAAGAGCTTTTAACAGAAGAAACTTAGAGTTTATCCACATTTTATTTCAAAAATGTGTTACCCATAGGTTGATATATAATCAGTGTGAAAACTAAGACATTCGTACATGGGGAACTTGCTATGCCGCAGAACAATAGAGAGTTCCCTAGTTCTTTAGCGCATTGTTACTTAATTGTTTACCTTATGAATTATTAATGAATTTGATAATAAGGCATATATTCGTACATTTAGAATGTGTGACATGTGACATGTTACCTCGGGTTCATTAGGATTGTGGTAATCTCTTGACTTTCTTCTTCCTTTACATCGACCAGAATTCTTGGGGGCAGCTCCATCGCAGTCATAAGAGCCACAGTTTTCGCATGGAGAATATTGCTCATCACTATGACGACGGTGACGKGAGCCCTTGTGGTTGCCTGGTGTCCTGGTTATTACTAGTGATTTAAGGGCGTTAACTTCTGCTTGCAACATATCAACCTGCAATATATATGTCAAAGAATTTACGTCATTCGTGCAGGATCCCTGTGCATTTCGGGCTTCCTTTAGCGAATTCATGCCATATATGGAAACAAACAAAATGGCCGATTGTTCAGAGGTGTTTTCACTATAATATCCGCAAGTTTCAGACAACTTCAAAAAATCGCCAAAAACCGGCCCACACGTACATTCCAAATAAGGTTAGATTACCATATATAGCTGCTAAAAGAAGGACTAATTTCTGAGGCAATTCTTTGACATTTAACACCGTAAAAAAGTAGGTGAAACAACGTACTGACGCTTTGAACGTTACTAAAGGAATCCTTCATCGGAATAAAGAGACGAAAAAGGATTAAAGTCCGAAGCGTCCAAGTAAGCTCTTTCACCTACGTTTTTACAGTGCCTAAATTTATCTTTTTACACAACTGCTTCTTTAGAAACACCGACGCAGCTCACACTAGCTTGCCGCTAGTTTCAGGCATTTTGCAATATATGTAGGGCAGTAGTAAGAGTGCGCCCTCATGGACTATCAACTCGTATTCCACTCGTATTCTTATGTACTTTAATAGATGAAAAAGTGTTTGGCTAACTGTGTGATTTTGTTGTCTGGCTAACTGTGCGGTTTTGACGGAAAAATGACTGATTAACTGATTGACCTACAGTCCAGTATTAAGAGAATATTGTTCATTAACAAAAATATATACAATCATTAAAGGATCTAATTCGTTATGTTGTACCTTGATGTCAGCCTCTGTGTATTTCTTCTCTGCCTGGTCTTGTTTTAACCTTGCGTCATGGACCATTGCATGGGCTTCCTGTGTAGGAATTATTATAATTTCATTAAAAGCAAAATGATGACACCAATACTGTGAACTACTGTGTGAAGTTCAGTTACCTGAAACAGACTGGCTGTGAGCTCCTCCAACTCAGACTCCAGCTGGTTTCTGACTTGAGACAATTTATCGCATTGCTCATCTTTGAGCTTTAATTCCTATAAGAATAGGAATATATAAATATATTTTTACCACACTTATGTGAATAGCCGACTTGCGAATTACGCATCAATAGTCACATACAAAGGAATCAAGACGAGGCGCCGTGCTTTTTTGTGAAAGATATATTGTCTTTAGCACGGCGCCTCGTCTTGATTCCTTTGTATGTGACTATTGATGCGTAATTCGCAAGTCGGCTGTTCTCATTGCGCTGGTTTACTGATTAGAGTATGTCAATAAGAGGACATGCACACTGTACTGACACTATCACACATGACCATACATGCTCAGTTGAAAGAAAATAATAATTTTTATGAAAGTTTATACTAAAAATCTGGTAAGAAATTGCAAATGATTTTGAGTTGTATGCCCTCTTATTGACACACCCTTGAAATCACAGAATCTTGCATTGAACCCACCAGCTATGCTCATGGATCAGGGCTCGAAATAATGGCCGGTCAAAGGACAATGTTCTTCCAAATTCTCGAGGTGACCCACCAAATCGGAAAGGACAAATTGACCTGACACATTTTTAGACAAATAAAGAAACAATCAATTCCCAATTCGCTAAATAAATATTTTACAAGCCATTAAAATGCTTGTTGATCTTTCTCAAAAAGAAAATAATAGAGTATAATCAAGTTTTTRTCCTTTCAAAATTTGACATGACCTTCCAAAAATGAATTTGGAAGGACGTCTTGTCCTGCATATGTCTGGCCGTTATTTCGAGCCCTGTGGGTTCACTTCAAGGAATACTGTGCAGGTCATTTGGGATCCCTGTGCTTTTTGGGGGCTTCTTTTATCACATTGAGTTTATTTTTTTGAATACCTGCTGTGCTTTTTGTAATTCAGCTTTCAGTCTTTCATAAGCATGAGCTTTGACCTCTTCTCTGGTCGGTGTTGTATGTCCAGTAAGGTTAGATATTCCTTTGAATGAGCTAGAAATATAGAGTATTATTTTCATTTGACTGCGAAAAAGGAGTGAAATTTATAGCTGGTTTCACACTGAATCTATTGTTTTCTTTTGTTCTTCACCAGCAAATACTAACTAAATATAGGCATCACGCTTTGGTCTCCCTGTGGAAAAAAGTTCCTAGTTCCTAGTCTCATTCTCTTACTGATCTAACACAGGAAGCCCACTATTTTGTTTTATATTTTGAAACAGATGCCTGCAGAGAAAGCTAGAGTGAGTGATGGTTATCAGTAATTTCCCACAGTTTATGATGAATGGAAATCAACCAATGGAGACTCCATGGCTGATTGATAAACTGCATGTGGCTGCATTATCTTCAATATTATTGATAACTTTAGTACTGCTTAGTGATTGCATGGGGGGACCTACATAGCATGCAGTTGATGTAATGTATTCATAAAATGTATTGTATTCCATTGTTTGTCGTTCTATTGTATTATGTGTTTTGTATTATATCTTTATGAATATATTACATTAACTGAGTGCTACGTAGGCTCTCCCGTGATTGCATAGGTTTATATTATAATAAATTAAGCACAGTGCTTAGGTTAGTGCTTTCTGTAAAAGCTTGAAACATTAATTACTAAATTGTGCAAAATAGTGCTAGTTGAACAAAAGAAAACAAAAGAGTTAGCATGAAATAGTACAAAATCATATTACTTAAATGTTTACAGATTTAGATATAAATTCAACAAATGACCACTTGATTAGCTAAGCATTATAAAATTCATTAAATATCTCATAAGGCCAACATAATTGAAAGTCATTGCCGTGACTACATTTTTAGATGATCAAGTGATTTGTCCTGATTTGATAACAACTTTAATCTTCGATTTTCTCTTAAATATGATATTTTATCTTGAAGTATTTAGCAAAATATGATTTAGCTCATGTTSGAATTTGATAAGCAATATAAAATATTTGTGCCCAATATTGGATATTTTATATATTACACCGGCGCTGATTTTTTGATGGCAGTAAGTTACTATGGAGACCCTATAACAAGTTTTTTTTTTCTAGAACATCAATATTCCTCCTGGGAAACACTCCATCAATTCCATTTCAAATTTTCTCATGGATTGTGCAACTTAATGTATTCAATGCGCAAATCAATTCGGTCAATGACCTCTACTAATATATCTGTATGCAGTCAAGCAATAGTCTTAGCTCTTCACAGTTCTCTGTGCCATATTAAAAGTTATCATATGACCCGTATTTCGGCCCTACGTGCGCTCTCACTGAAACCTTTGGAAAATGGTCACGTGATGGGGTCCGTACGCCTTTTCGCAACAGGTCCGTACAAACCCGTATTTTCCCGGCTTGAAGTTCCGCGTGCTTTTATTTATTCTTTTACATTCAAAAACGCTGTCATATGATAAAATGCTTATTGACTGAGTTAGGTCGGGCCGTACGGGAAAATATTTGGCTCTCGGTCATTTGTAAGGACCTCGCTGCGCTCAGTCCGTACGGCATAACCTCGAGCCAAATATTTTCCCGTACGGCCCTCCCACTCAGTCAATAAGTACATAGTATCTGTGACATTAAGTGAGAYGACCGTATACATTTAGATAACTGTGAATAATTGTCTGTCGACAGGAAAGAAGGTTTCTGTCATTACCCAATCAACAGCCGTCTCATTTTAATGCAAAGGCACAGCTAAATTTCAAGATGCCGCAGGCAACCRTGAAGGAGACTATTGACAACTGGAATTACAATGTAGACTGACTGCTGTCTGCTTTGTCTTACATATGTTTGACAAGGCAGTAAGGTGTCACAGATTAGATAGAATTTGSCATGAATATTTACAATGTTATTCTATGGATTAGATTGCAAATAAAATTCATTGGTCAAAGATCTATTTAAAATAATACAAAATAATTGGATTTGCTATTCTTTTGAAAACATTTTGGTTTGTAAAATATATTATTAATGGTACAAGATAGTAACTTTTGAATGTTAATGTTGTTACAAATTTTTAAGGAGATTTGTTTCTTTCGAGAGAATCAATATTTATTATTATTTAYTGATTATAACTGATAATATTCAACATTTACCCAAAAAGTTGATGACCTATTTTACTCATTGCATAAATATGTCAACAATCTTAAAAGTCCATCGTCACGGTCGAAATATTTCGATCATAACCTACAAGTAAAAATTACTTCAAAAATAACAGTCGTTAAAATGATTACAATTCTCTCACCTTCCGCTCAGCGATAACTCTGGATCTGAATCCAAACTTTTGTGTAAGGCTAATTGAGCGTCTCTCAGAGAAGCTGGTCTCTTTTTTCCTCCTTTGGCGGGCTTACTGCGGAGRGACACGTTACTGCAAGTTCTTGGCCGAATACTGGCGGAAAATACATCTGGCTCACTGTTTGAGCGATCAAGTTGTCCCTCCACAGGGCTTCCAAGAAAATCACCATCCATTTTTCTTTACTTTTKAGTGAACTTTTTATTTAAATAGCGAAATTTTTCTCTCCAAATTGATTGATGGAAACTTGGAATCGATACTGAACGGACGGCAGTTTGTGCGATCGCCACCTGGCGGATGTAAAGTTTTAATTCTATCTTACTATATCAAGATATAGACTATTTTAGATCAAAATAAACGGATATAGAAAAAAGCTGTCTTTGGGATTATGCCGCGGGAGATAATCCATACATCCAATTCAATTTTGAGGAGTTTTTTTWAARGRWTKSYTYYYMAA